GGCAGCCCAGCTCCAGGTTGAGCTGTTGTTCAGCATCTTAGCTGTGGAGGGCAGTGTCACTGGCCCTCATATGTGGGGTCCGAACCGGGGCCCTCTGGCGTCCCAAGCCAGTTCTTAACCAACGCGCCACTCGACCGGCCCAAAACCTAACCTCTTTTATGTTCTAACTTTCAAGCCTATAGTTGGGGAGTCAACCCTGCAAGAAGATGTAAGTGGTGTCCTCCATCACCACCTCCAAACCCAGCCAAATTTTGCTTCCCAGCTCCTAATCTTAAAACCAGTTTATCTTTCAACTGGTAGAATTATCCATGTGAAATAGGTGACGTTATACCAGGAGGCAGCAGAAAAGGGATTGATAAACAAAAAAGTACTTTTGTTCTCTTCTAATGTACTTGAGAAATAATTAACCCTGTCATCACCACTGCAGTCAGCTAGTCAAGAGCCAGCTGTAGGGTAAGAAATGAAGCCACAAAATACTACTGTTGCAGCTTTTGGCTTCTGCATGAGATGTGCTAAGCATTTTATTAATGAAAACATTTTGTTTTCATTAAACCATGATGATAATTCTCCAATTTATATATCAACTCTATTGGGTTCTCTGGATTGAGGGTCTGCCTGAGTCAATCATGTCAACACGTCTAGTCCAAAGGGAATAAAGTGGGCGTGACAGAGCCCAAGCCAAGTGAAGGGATAAGGAGCGGGAAGGGGGGCCCCCTAGGAAGCAGACATCCTCTTTCCCATCAAATCTCCTTAAAATTGAATACCTCTTTCCCAAGTCTAAAAAAGGAAAATAATAAAAAATAAGAGCTTGTGAAACCACTCTGAGGCTATTCCCCCCAGCCAGAGAGCCTACCAAAATGAGAATGTCACCTATTTTTTATTACTTATTTTGTAAATATTCTAAACTAAACTGAGTATCACCACTAAAATGTTCATCTCACTTCCTATTTCAGAATCGCTTCTCTTCCCCTGCCTACATTATAAAAATGTTCCTAACCAAAGGTTGGCATATGCCCAGCCTATGTGAACATCCAATGTAATCACATCTTTCCTAATTCTTTCAAGCATTCAGATGAATTGTGCTTATAGTACTTCTCTTCAGTTATTTAGAATATGGCTGACTTTTTCAAACTAAAAACCAACAACTTTGGTAGGTTTGGGGTTTTTTTAAGTCCTTTTGCAGAAGTAGAAGAAGTTATGCTTATAACCATCTCCATTTATGGTTAAGTGGTTAAGGAGACAGGAGAAACAAAGATGCTAGTTTTAGCAACGACTGAACATGAAAGTGAAGGTACAGGAAGTACAAGTTTCCAAAGATGCAAAGGACATCTGACAACAGGATGGGATCTGCTGACAGTACCCAAAGGTATAGACATGTAAAACTGATCAAGCACCTGATATAAAATGCTTTCTAAATAAGAACTAAGCATACACTGGTCTCAAAAATACCAATCAACCACTGAACTAAGAAACAGGATAGTCTGAGCTTCTTTCACATTTTTTTAATCTGTAAGTTTCAAGAACTTGAAGAATTCCAGGGGCAATCTCTATCATTCACCTTTGTGAACTAAACAATTCTCTGTTTAGTAGGTTCACCAAATCTGTAAATGCTAAACAGGAATTTAGTGGCATTGGTGAACAAATCAGAAAAAGAGGGAGGACCTTCTTCTTAAAGATGAGAAGTTTTATCTTTAACACACTACAACTATTTCTTCAACTCCTATTTTATTTCTTGTCCTAAAAATATTACTAAGATAATGACTTCGGCCACCACTCCCTCATAATGCAGATTTTTTGTGGTGATAGAGGAGACTGGAACTTGTTTATTCATCTAGGACCAAAACTGGTCTCATTACATGTAAACGTGAGTTTGGAGTATGCCAATATAAGAAAGAATTGGCAAGTAATAAGGCCAGGTAAAGTAAGAGCCGCCTTAGTGACAGCAGTAAATGTGGGGAACCAGGGAGAGGTGTAAGACTAAAAGGAAAAGATTTGTTTGAAGAAAATGGAAAGCAAAAAACAGATGATTTCAGCAAGAATGAGATCAGGGAAGAAGCAAGACATCAACTGATTAGGAAAATCTAAAAAGTAAGCAACAGCTCATAAAGTTTCGAAGAAAATGTTGGTCTTTGTGCCCTGTGTATAGAAATGGGAGACCAAGAAAATGTTACACTTATGCATTAAGAGGATCCGCTAATAACTAAATGGAGGATGAGGGCTTAGAGTATGAGTAAAACTATTAGTGGAAAGGAAAAGTGAAAAAGAACAGCTTTAAAAAAAAAAGCATTAAGCTGCGTCAAACAGCACTGGGCAACGAGATTCTGAATTATCTAATAAACCTACGTATAGGTGATTTCCTTCCCCAGGATCAGCTCACTTTATACCTTAAGTAACATTTGTATCCTAACATGCTCACGAATGCTGCCTTAAACTCGGCACACCCTATGAGAAGTAAAAGTGCGAACTAAGATGACTGCCCTCCCCTCCATATTCTATCCAGCCTCATCCTACTCCTTCGTTGGTGGTGGACTGAAGGATGGAAACGGGAGTGAACCCTGAGCAGACGCTGGGAAGCTTTCGGTTTGTACCACCCAGGACTTGTTTTAACACACTTACCAACATCTCCGTAAACATACAGGCCTCTTGGAGGTTTGCTCCTTGAAAAAAGCTGTAAATTAAGAACAAATTATAAATCTCTAACACGGAAATAATTAAATATCCCCATATACACAATGTTCCTGACTGTGCCATATACAGGACTGAAACGGGCTGTTGTACATAATAGATATGAAAAACTTGATGTACAAGGCTGGGAAGCCCAACTTAAGTTTCAACAGAGGAAGCAAGAGCTATGAATCACACAACTTAAATTTACATTCCCTACACCATTTACTAGCCACGTCATCTTCCCCCTCTTACCCACACAGGCTCCGCAAACAAGGGCAGCCTTGCTCCCTCCCATTAAGCAAGAGATCAGAAGAATTTTTCTGGAGACCCTGAACAGTTGCCAGAAAAAAGAGCCCAAAGGCACTTAACGTGTGGGTTTCTCCCACAGATGGAGCTGGTTCCCCACCAGATGACCTTACAGAAAAGCACACCAGTCAACAAACCTAAGATGGACCTTTCAATCAGCTTGTTGGTATCTGAAAAGACACTAAAACGAATTGACAGCCAAGAATCAACAGATCTGGAAAAAAAAAAATTTCCAAGATGAAGAGCAAGATGAAGAGACCAGAGCAAATACACAGGGAGGAAGTACTCACAGGAAACAGACTACACAGCCAGCAAAAGGAATCTTCAAAAATAAAACTATAGTCAATATAATTAATATGCTGGTGGAAATAAGAGAAGCTGTTAAAGCTACAAAGCAAGAACAAAATGCAATTTTTCTTCAAAGAGGAACATTAAGAAATTTAAAATACGGTAGCAGAAATAAAGTATCAGAAAAAGGATTAGAAGATAAGCTTGAGGAAATGTTCCAGAAAATACAACAAATAAACAGCAATAATAAAAGATGAAAAAAATATAAGAAAGTTATAGTATTACCATATTTCTCCATGTATAAGATGCTCCCATGTATAAGACACCTTAATTTTGGGGCCCAAAATTTGAAAAAAAATGTATTACATAAAGTTATTGAACTCAAGTTTTATTCATCATAAATTTCATACAAGTCCTCATCACTGTCAAAACTCCCAACCATTAGCTTGTCCTCATCTGTGTCTGATGATGAATCACTGTCTCGTCCTCAGTTCCATCTATGGCATTTGAAATCTACAACCACTGTATAAGACGCACCCAGTTTTTAGACCCTAAATTTTTCGAAAAAGGGTGCATCTTATACATGGGGAAATACAGTAATTCAGGAGGTCCAACACCTGAAACTAAGGAATTCCAGAAAGAGAAAATAGAGAAAAAAGAAATAATACAAAGATTTTTCTCAGAACTGAAGGACTTGATTCCTAGATTGGAAGAATAGACTAAGTGTTCAACACAATGAGGAAAATAAGACCCACACCAACTCACAATCCTGAAATTTCAGACACCAGGAACAGAAAAAGGTGGCAGTGGGGGGCGGGGGGTGGCACAACAGGTCACAAAGGGAAAATGATTTCCAATCTATCTGATCTATCCATCAAGTGTGAAAATAGAAAATAGACATTCCATATATACAGGGTCTGAAAAAAACCTCCCCAATGGAAAGAGGCTCCAGGAAATACAAAGGACCCTGGGAAGGAAGCCCTGGTAACCTGGAGGGTTGCTCCAGGACCACAGCAGCGCAAGTCAGGAAAGCAATCAAGTCCAGACCCAATCAGGAGGATGGAGGGCTCCAGGAAAGAAACAAAAGGGAACTTCTCTTTCCCTGATATTATTATCAGCCCAAATAACCATCCTAGATTTTATTCCACTGAAAAGAAAAACCTTCAAACTCTGCAGCAGTTCCTAGACACCTACGCAACCACCAAGGTAAGCCAGAGCAGAGAGGGTATGTGCAGAAAGAAGCCAAGGTTATACCACATAGCACCGCCCAGAGCAGTTAATATTTTGGCAGAGAACATTGTCAAAAGCTAGACTTCAGGATCTAGTACATACTGCTTTTGGTTTTCAATCTGTGGCTTCACTCCTCACTGCCTCAGAAACCTTTCTTGCTTTCCCTGTTCCTCTTAGCTTTCTCTACTCAACCCAGCCCCTGACTCCAGCATGTCCCTTCCAGAAGAGCCTTCACCATGGTTGAGACAAAAGGACATGCTTCACTTTGCTTTGATTCTGCCAGCTGGGTACCTTCCCTGTGTTCTCTGCATATTAATTCTCCATCTATTCTTAAATCTCAACTGAAAACAGATTCCACTCCTGCCAAAACCAATTGATTTGTCTATTATTATTATTATTATTATTATTATTATTATTATTATTATTATTTTCAGGTGTACAAAACAATGTAATAGTTAGACATTTACACACTTAACAAAGTGATAACCCCCCTCCCCAATCTACTATCCCTCTGACATCGTATGTAGCTGTTACAATTCCACTGACTCTATTCCCTATGCTGTACTCCACATCCCGTGACTACATATATATTTAATTATAGTTGACATTCAATATTATTCAGCTTCAGCTTCAGGTGTACAGCACAGTAGTCAGATGTCTACACAGTCCATGAAGTGGTCTCCCTAATAAGACAAGTGCCCATCTGACCCCCTACAAAATCTTTACAACATTATTGATTATATTCCCCAAATTGTCTTTCATATCCCGATGGCAATATTGTGGCTACTAATTTGTGCTGTTTTAATAATCCCTTTGTTTTAATATCTTATATGAACCATTCTTCTATGCTGGTTACTCTGTGTTCAACTTGCCAGAAAAAGCGTTATGCTCTTAAACAATTTTAGAACAGCTTCAAATTGGAAAACTTACACAGAACCCAATAATCTCTAAGCATGTCCTATCTTTTGAAAGCAATAAATTGTGTTAGGTAACTGGGAGTATCATATCAATTCATAATTCTTCACAACACATTTTGCAGGAATTGTCTGGGGCCTACTCTAGTACTATTCACTGATACAATCAATATATGTTGAATAAATGAAGTTCAAGGCAAAAAACAATTAACAAAGATGGGGGGAGAACTCAATACTACTAAAAACAATAAAAAGCGCTCAGGGTCCTAGCTTCTGTTTACCCACCCAAACTCAATATATTTTTGAAAGAGCACTTTGGCATATATTATACTACATTATATATATAATGTATGTTGCATTGTATTACATTCTATAGTATGTTTAGAAGATGACAAGATACTGTTATAGAAAAGATCCTCCAACAACTGAGATCACAAACATCCGGTATGACATAAAGACAGTCTAAGATGCCAATTTTACTTTAATACATTGATAAACAAACTGGATATCCCTCTAATATAATGTGAGATATCGTCTACCTAAACATTATATACTCCCAAGTATTTTCACTTGGAAAGGTGCGTCAGTTTTCTCCTAATAAAATTTCAGTCTTCTAAGAATTATGGAAATTATTTCATGGGATTTAAAAATCCATATTTTAAAGGGATAATCAGAGGACTGAATGGAGAGCAGTAAGACTATTTAGAAGGCTATAAAATGGGTCTACAGGAAATTTGAAATTTCTTATTCATAGTGAATTCAGGGAGAGTTAGGTTCATGTAGTTTTCTTTAAGATGACCAACTTACACAGGAACCCACATCATTTACATGCTCCTACTTTACATTTTCTCACAATTTACCCTCTTTTTCAGTTCCATTAAATTTCCTTTCTTAATGCTTTAATTTCCAGTAATTCTTTTTCTTATGTTTCAGAGAACTCCACCCTGGCACAGCTCCCCAGCGCTGGTATTCTTCCCAGCTCCCCTACCCAGATGCCTCCTCTGTCTTGCTCTGGACCCCAGGATGCTGGCAGGTGGCTGGCTGCACTCAGCACCTAGGAGGCACTCCTAGCAGGAGATTGGGGGAGGGAGCCGGGAACCATCCAAGCCATTCTCTCCAGTTCCCTCCCTGCTTGGTGCTCTATCTTTGGTGGAGCTGCATCCCTCCAGGACCAGCAGGTCCCCAGCCACTGCTCCAGCTCTCTCAGGCTCCTCCTTATCCCTCCAAGCCTTGTTTGCTGCCCTAGGGCTGCCCTGCCCATGACTCCCTAATTGATCTCTTGATTCAGTCTTTATTTGAAACATCTGCTGTGAACTGTTTCCTGCCAGGACTCTGATACATGCCCATCCCTTAAATTGCACAGTCTTAACATTAGACAAAGACTTAAAAATGTGACTGTGAATAAATGTCTCTAGTGACCAGAGTAAGATTTGTCATGTTACTTGTATCTTAGGAAAGTTACAAAGGAAGATGACACCTTCTCTAAATGGGTTTTTGATGAGTCCAATGACACTGCACTATAGATTGTGCAGATGGTAAACTTAAGGATGTTGGAAGATAGTGGTAACATATCACCTACCTCTGCTAAGCATAAAAGATACAGTAGTAGAGTGTTGGAGTTGAACCCAAAAGATCTGCTATAAATTCTGGTTCTGCTATTTATTAGCCACGTGACCCTGGGTAAGCCACATCAACTCTACAACCCGTTATTTTCTTATCTACTGGGTACAGGGCAGAACACTGGGCGTTCCCATACACTGCTCACTTCTGCAAAGTAATCACAAGGCCCACTCGCTCACCATGAAGACGGCGAACTTCATGTGCTTACTCATACCTGCTTCCATCCAAACCTGTGCACCATGGATAAAGAAACATGGCACCTTGTAACACATCCTTCTCAGAGGCCTGAACAGTGAACTAATGTACACTCCAGATAGCTTATATCTAAAACTCTACACCAAACAAATCAAGAATGTATTCAAGAACACGTATTCAAATATAGTCCATATCTAAGCCATTAAGGAAACTTCCAAAGAACCAATGTACTCCAACCTTAATGTAATAAAACTAGAAATAAATGCTAGAAGGATACCTAAAAATAGAAATATCTCACACTAAGATGTTGACCTTCCCATCATGTTCACCCAGACTTCTGAAGATTGCTGGAAAAGTCGGAAAGCCCTGCAGAGTGTGCCCGCTCAGCAGTTCCTCCAGGTTGTAATTCTGTTGCCCTGGTTAGTTCGCTCTCTGT